AATAAGCAATACTTGAAGCTAAAAAAAATAATTGTAAGAAAAGGTGAATAAAGATGATAGTAAAAGTGTTGAAATTTCCGTAAGATTTAAATTTTTATGTACTCTAGCAAATAGAAAATTAAAAAAAAAAATAAAATTGCGCGCACATTTTAGCTAAGTGTTTGAACGAACTTTTCTACAAATTTGTGCTGTGCGTCTATATGTCATAACACCAATACACTATAGGTAAATTGATCAGTTTTTGTGGCAAAAACCCATTTTTCGTACTTACAAAAATAAACTATTTGTCTATGGTATTTGATCAAGAAAAATTCAAGTCAAATAACGGTGTCTTTTATTTTTGTAAAAAACCAACGACAACTGCTTTGCAGGTGGTCAAAGTCGTTGCCTGTGAGTGAAGTATTGAAATCGACTTTTTGTTGTTTGTTGGTTTTTTTTAACTATTTTCGAACAACCATATTTGTGTTATTAATTATCTTAGAAATTAACAAAAATATAGAATAAAGGAAAAGTAAGTAGTTACCTAAAGGTGAAAAGTTGTCGCATCCAGCTTTTGAAATGGTGCAGCAGAGATGAAAAATCGCCGTAGTTTCGCATTATCTGTCATTCTGCATCAAAAACTAAATTTTGGAAAAAGGTGGACTTGGCACCTTTTCGCCTTTAGATATCGAAGTGCTTTTCGAATCTAGAATTGGTTTTTTTTTACCTTTAAATTTTGTTCTTAAAAATTAAATTTAAAAAAGCCTTTAAATGTTTCCCTTGTTTAGACTATCAAAGGCGTGTAAAATAAAGATTTTTTGAATTTAATTCGTCAATTTTATGTACTATCGCTAGTAAGCTATTTACCATGTGGACAGAACTCAATAAAGAGAGGAAACAAAAGGCTGTTTACAATTTTGATGCTCCAAAGGCTTCTCCTCTTAGGGCCAGTTTCTCAATGTCTGGTTTACGCTAACTGCAGGTTAAACATCTTTATCGACCTGATCAATTCTATAACATATGTATAACAGGGAGTCGATACCGTCAATAACGATATTTAACCTGTAGTTAGTGTTAACTACCTCCCAGTTAAACATCATTATCGATCATGCATATAACATGTGATCGATAAAGCAGTCGTTTTATTATCTCCGGTTTGCGGTAATCGGACATTAAGCATAAGGCTCCTAACTTTATCCGCAGACCAATTAAGAAATTCAGACCTTTTAGGTTTTCAATTTAAAAAAATATAGTATGCTGATATTTTTCAAAAATAGCCACTATAAATAATTTTTGTAACTAAGTGGATTTTTTTCTTTAATACATATACATATATACAAAAGACTTGAATTTTTAAAAGTGACCCCTTTAGACCCCTCGGTCGTCTCAACGGTTAAGATTTTTTTTTTCAAAATATGTATATGTAATTTCACATTAGTTTCACTT